CAAAGCCATCACTAGAAACGCAATGCCGATTGAATCCCCCAATGATGGGAGTGGTAAAAAAGGAAATTCAGAAACTTCTTGATGCTGACGTAATCTATCTGATTTCATATAGTAAGTGGGTAAGTCTGATTCATGTAGTTTCTACGAAAATCGGAGTTACAATGATTGAAAATCAAGAAAGGGAATTAGTGTCGATAAAAGTTCAAAATGGGTAACAAGTCTGCATTGATTGCAGGAAGTTGAAATCTTTCACTAGAAAAGACTATTTTCCTCTTCCCTTTATAGATCAAATTATTGAGAGATTAGCCGAGAAAACTCATTACTGTTGTCTTGATGGCCTTTCAGTTTTTTTTCAAATCCAAGTGGCGTCGAAAGATCAAGAAAAAACAACATTACTTGTCCATTTGGCACGTTTTCATATTGTTGGATGCTCTTTGGCCTTTGTAACGCACCAACCACTTTTCCAGATATGTATGCTGAGCATTTTTTCCTACTATATGGAGAAAGGGATCGAAGTCTTCATGTACGCCTTCACGGTTTATGGTAATTCTTTTAGTGAATGTCTTGAAAATTTAACCAATGTGCTTAGAATATGTTTGGAATTTAACAGATTGATCCTTGTAGACAAGTAACCAACATGAATCTCGAAGTAAAACCCGTTTTCGATGATTCGAGGAAACTGAATCAAAGCGAAGGCCTAAGGTTGATTTCTACCGTATCAAATTTATTTCTTTGAACTTCTTTTTAAACTTTTTCTTTTTTTTTCATCTTCTTTATTTTCTTTATTTTATTTACTTTACTCTCTTCATAAGTCCCCTATTATTCAAATTCTACTTCATCCATTTATTGGCACAAAGATTAAATAAAGCACGAATAAATCAAGAAGTTTATTTAGTCTCTGTGGGATCGATCCTTACATCTCCTTTATTATGTTAAATTTTCTTTATTTATTAATTGAAAAGAAATAATTATTTTGATGTTAAAAATGATGCTCGTCAAGCCCACCAAAGAGAAAAATAATATAATCATTAAAGCCTTGTCTATCTCGTGTCTGCATGTTTTGATTTTTATTTTAATTCGCATCCCTTTGGAGAATAAGCCTACAACGAGGACGAGGACCTACATAACCCCTTTACGTTAGATCCATGATATAAAAAGTTCCTTTTATTAAAAATATTTAAAATATATATGGAATGTAATATAAATGTATTCAAATTTATATAATATAAATTATTCTTCTAACTTTAGGTAAATATATAATATTTAATGAGATATAAATATGTAATTTTCTCATCCTGCTCGTTCATGGTAGCATATGCCATTGTGTGCTGCTGAGCAGATGGAACGCATTTGAGAGAAACGTGTTTTGACCATCCACCTATATATATATATATATATATATAATTAATAACTCCCATTTCATTAAATATACCCATTAATGAAATATGTGAAAAAAGTTTTTAATGCATATATTCAAACTAATGAAAATGGGAATATGATTGATGTGAAAATTTGAATTTCAAAAAATAAATATATCAAATATATTTTTTAGCGATAACTATGTATTTAGTCATCTAATTATTATTATGATTTTACTTTGGTTACTTAACTATTTTTCTAAAGGATTAACTACACGAATTATCACTTATATTTGTATCATATCCACTTTTGATAATTAATTTAAAAAAACATAAGATATGATCATTTTCTTTTTCATTTAATTAAGATATGATCACTTTCTTTTTTTATTTAATTAAGATGTGATCACCTCGAGTTAACTGTTGTTAACAACAATTAAATATTTTGATATAATCATATATTTGGTCCTCATTATTTATATACTATCTCAATTTTATCATACTTTTAATAAATTAAAATATATTGAATCATCCAATCGAATGATGTCACATGTCATGTCAAGACCATTGCTTAGTCTAAAGTAGACAACATGATGTATATATTTTGTATCTTAGTGTATAAATACTTAAATGGATAATATTTTATATATATTAACTTAAATTTTTTATGTTAACTTATTAAATATATTTTATTATTAACTTAATTTTAAATTATTTTATTTTTATTTTCATTTAAAAATATATATATTTTATGTTAAAATTTATTTAAAAGTATGGTTAAATTGATAGAATATATAAATAACAGTGAACAAATGTGTGATTGTACTAACTATCACGTCACATATTCTATTAATTGTTAACGACAAATAACCTCTGATGACCACATCTTAATTAAATAAAAATGAAAGTGACCATATCTTAATTAAATAAAAAAGAAAGTGGACATGTCTTATATTTTTTAAAATCAGTGACCAAAAGTGGATAAAACACAAACATAAGTGATCATCCATGTAGTTAACCCTTTTTAAATCATTATTAAACTTAAACTTTTGTTATATTTTAATCATTCACTGTAAAAAAAATAAGTAAAATCGATGATGTGGATTTTTTTATCTTTTTAATGGTGATAAGACATTTTATGTGACATGTTAGCATCACTATTAATTTTTTAAAGGTGAATGATCAAAATGAAATAAAAATTTAATTTAACGATGGTTTAAAAAATAATTAAATAACTAAAATAAAACTACAAAAATAATTCAGTGACTAAATACTTAGTTTACCCTAATTGTAAACAACTATGCATTTGCTTTGGCCGAGATAAATGGCGATATAATCGATGAGATCTCATTGGACAAAAATGTTGAACATTTTTCTTTTAAATTAAGACCAAAACCTCATTTAAAGGATTGTGCCACATCTCATTTATTTAGTGAAAGATAAAATACATAAATGATTCGATTATTATAAGACACTTTTATTAGATATTATTTTTATTATAATCCTTAATAGTTAAATAATTTAATAAAATAATGTTATTTAGTTGTTAATCGAAATATCATTTGTATATTTTATCATTATTAAAAATATATTTAAATTAAATAAGATTTCAGCGATATTTTTATGGTAATAGAATTTAAATTTAAAAGTAACGGGAATGATTTATGTGATGTAATAACTTATCAATTAACATGTTATTAGTTTTATAAAAAATAATTAGCATGTCAATAATATTGTGATTATATTTAGAATACATTTGGATCTAGAAAATATTTTGTTTAAGTTTTCTGTTTTTATTTGTATAAATAGTTTTCATTTTCAGCTTTTTGAAAATTATAAAACATGTTCGGTTAATATAAATGAAAATTTAAATTAAAAAATTGTGAAAACATATTTGGTATTTAATTTTTTAAAATAGAGATGAATAAATAGTTATTAAATAACTAAATTAAAATATAATTATTAAAATTTTCATTACATAAATTTAACATGTGAGTTATGCAAAAACAATAAAATTGATAAGAAACTTTATAACACAAAAATTTATTTAATATTTTGACTAATTGAATCAAACCATCAAGACATTTACACGACAACTCACAAAGTTTTTATGAAAATCTACGATATTGATGTAACAGTTCATTATGTTGTTGTGGCAGTACACGATGGATAATGATGTGGTAAATGAGTTTAATTGATGTTTTACTAAATTTGAGGGTCTAATTAATATTTAGAAAGTTTGAGGGCTTATTTAATTTTTTTTAAATTAAGGTATTATTTAAATTTAAAATATAAATGATCATTAAGATATTTAATACATTAAATAAAAATTAAATTACTAAAAATTAGCCACATTGAATGTAAAAAGAAGTTTAGAGACCATATTGATTTTTTTAAAAAAATTGAGAATTTTAGATATCATTATGTCAAATAATTATTGTTAAAATGAGTTGAACATGGTAAGCTAAGTTAAAAATCTAAAGTTACCACCAAATATTTTATTCAATGTTTTCTATTTTATAAGAAAATAGAAATTTTATATTTTCTTGAACCAGACAGACATATTTTCACATTAAAATATGTTTACTATTCTATTTATATCAAATTAGGGTTTGCTCTTTTCCTCTTAATCTAATCATTAATAGGCCAAAAGCAGTAAAAAAGAAAGGACAAAAAGCAAACATGTTATTCACTTGAACCCTGTTCAAACCTCACATCAAATAGGATTAGGATTAGTGTGAGCATGGGCTTAATCATTAACTAATCCAGTTGGTGCTCATAATTTTTTTACATTTTTTCTGTCGGTATCATCAAACTCAATTCAAACATGGATTCTTTAATTTTCTTATATCTATTTTTTTTCTCTTTCCTCAATCAAATCTTTGTCGTTGGTTCTTATAAACCACTTAGTCGGCATCTACCCTTTTTTTTCCTCTATCGCATCATTTAAAAAACACAATAAAAATGTTGCCAAAATAAAACAAATGAATACTTCAACTTTTATCTCAAGAGATCATGATGGTCGAAGAATGATCGGATATCTGGTACGTTAATTATTATTATTAATTCTTTTACTTTTATTTAAATATATTTTCACATTAATAAACAGAAACAGAGTTTATATTTACGATACCAAATACATGAATATCTTTAATAATAATTTGACGATGTTTTCCTAAAAATTAGGGTAAATTTTGTATTTAGCCACCTAGTTGTAACTATGATTTCATTTTGATCATTTGATTATTTTTTTAAGATCATCACAAATTTTATGTTTTGATTTCATTTCGATCATATATCGTTAAAAAATTAATGATGATGTTAACGTGTTATAATAGGATATTGGCACATTATCTTTGAAAAAAATATCAAATCAACAGTTTTGTTAATTTTCGACAACAAATGATCAATGTGAAATCAAAATATAACGTTATGATAATTTAAAAAAAAAATTAATTGACTGATCAAAATCGAATTAATATGATAGTTGGGTGACTAGATATGTATTTTACCCAAAATATTTAAAATATTTATATATAACCTCAATCTATATCTAACATTCATCCCACACGTGTCGTGTATATGGTGGTATTTTTGCGTGGCGGCGCATGATCAAAGCTTGTTCTGAATTCCTCAATCCATATATAAATGGCACCTTCACCTCGTTTCGTTGAAACAAAGGTTCTCTTTCAACTTCTACAATTTTCTCTTTTCAACACCCCACCCCAAAAAAGGAAAGAAAAAAAAAATTTGGTTTTCATGTGCTTACTCAACAAGGTGGCGCATCAAAGAGGTTCAAGTGAGTACTCCAGGTTTCCAACCGCCGGAGATGGTGGCGGTCCTAAAGATGAACAAGAAGAGTATTCCCAGTTGTCTCAAATCCAACAAATGAGCCATCCAATGATGCAACACAGGAACCAAGCTGAAATGTTTCTGGGACAACAAGGTCAATCAACCGAGATGTCTGCAATGGTGTCTGCCCTCGCCCATGTTGTGTCGGGTCAAAGGGTAGCTGCTGATTGGGGTCACGGTGCTTGCATGATAGCAGGCAACGTCTCGTCTGGTTTTGCACTCAGCAGCTCATCGGCTGATTCACCCTCCGGTTGTGGTTCGAGTTCTGGTGTATGGGTTGGTCAAAAACGAGGGCGTGGAGATGAGACTAGTGCTCAGCTGATCGAGTCTGCACCAAGAGGGGTTCAAAGAACTTTTGCCGATTCATCATCACCTGCAACATCCGGTATACATGATCTACAATAGACTTACTGTTTTCCTGTTATGAATTGTTTAATAAAACTAATACTATATTTTATAAAATATGAATTACTGTTTTTTTCATAAGCTTCCATTAGCCAGCTTAGGAGAAACTCAAAGGTGTACCTTTATCAATAATTTATATCTCTGTTTTTGTTCTCTCTGAAAAAACAGTTGGTGAAGAAAGTACGAGCGTTGTTGCAGCGACAGCAGAAACAGCAGCAGCAGCAGCATCAAATGAAGAAACCGGGGAGCGAAGAAGACGATATAGAGGCGTAAGGCAAAGGCCATGGGGGAAATGGGCGGCAGAAATACGTGATCCTCACAAAGCAGCAAGAGTTTGGCTCGGCACCTTTGATACCGCAGAAGCCGCCGCTAGAGCATACGATGAAGCCGCTTTGAGATTCAGGGGAAACAGGGCCAAATTAAATTTTCCCGAACTTGTCAGGGCTGTTCCTCAACCAACCCAGAATTTTCCCGCTACCCAAACACCTGCTCCTAGTTCTCTGCCAGCCCATTATCAATCATCTCATCCCACGCCATTTCCGTCGTTTTACCAACCCCAAGCTCTTCCGAGCTCCACCGCAGACATGTTGAGGGATTACTGGCAGTACTCTCAGCTGTTGCAGAGTTCTGCTGGTGTCCATGGGCAACATGATAAGAGCTTGATGGAACAGATGATTCAATCCTCTCAATTGCCTAATATTCAACCCCCGTTATTATCTTCTTCTTTCTCACCTTTCCCTTCCTCTTCTCCTGCTTCCGGTTCTTCATCTTCCTCCTCTGCTTATTTTCCTCCGCTTTTCGCCGAGAATCAACAAATGAGCATTTCCAGAAACCCATCCAATCAAACTCAGGCAAGTGGATCAGATTTTCCAGTGCCACCGTGGTCTCATCCTGGTCATTATCCTCCATCCACCGGTTCATAATAATCCCATTATTTTATAACCTAAAAAATATATATATATATATATTTTAAAAAAAATCTTATCACTTTTTTATTTTATTGTTTTGTCGAACATGTTTCTTTTATAGATTTGATTAGAAGTATTGTCGTCGTTGGTATTGTAAAAGAAAAGGACAAAAGCATAAGAGGGAGGGGGACAGAAACAAAGAGGCATTTAGGCATATTAGTTTGGGTCTCATATGGATTTGATGTATACTTTCTCACAATTATCGAACAAAAGATCTAGAAAGAAACCGAACACCCTTTGTTTTTTCTGCAAGCTGTCTGTTGTTTACTTTGCGGCCAAAGCTTCATTAGGAATGTTCTTGATCTCCCTCTCTCTACATTTTATTATTATGTTTAATTTATCTTTTGCTTACCGTCTACAATTTGTCCTCATTACTACCATTTTTTAAAGAACATCCCTCATAATTAGGAGTAAAGGTAATAAAATCAAATATGGTGCTTTTTTATATATAAAAATCAAATATGATGCTAATCGATTATACTTTCGGTTGAGATCGATTTTATATGGGTTAAGATTAATTTATTTAATGTAACTTTTTTTAAAATTTTATATAGATTTAAGATTGTTAGATGAGCAAAAATAGATGATTGAGATTAAATTTTTATTTTTTAGTGAATATATTCTTGCTTTTTATCATTAATCTCAATAATATATTTTTAATAAAATAAATGATTATATATCTGCATAAAATTAAAAGAGTTTAATATTGTATAAAAAACATATTTCTATATATAATAATAATAATAAATATAAAATATTTATATACACATACATATATAATTTAATAATTTATTTTTAGTTAAAGAGCAAACTTATAATTATATTATTGGTGAATATTAATATTTATCACTATTTTTATTTTAGGGTAATTTACACAAATGGTATCCAGACTATAAGATGTTATTTTGTTGAATTGTATAACTATTAAAAGTTACAAAATATCATATGATTATAGTGCGTTGCTTTGTCGAGTCTTTCGACTATTAAAAATTATTTATATGTTCCAAATTCGTCATTGTTCATTAAAGAATAAAGACAATCTGAGTTGGATGTTAATCTGTTTTCTAAAATATGATAAAACGATGGAGATTCTTAAATCAAATTTTATCAGATCTCATATATCATATTAACATCTAGCTCATATTTATGTCATTTTTAACGAAAAATGATAAATTTAAAACATAATAAATGGTACAGTGACCATTTTGTAACTTATAATAGTTAGAGGACTTACTATCTTATAGTTGAGAGACCATTTTGCAACTTTTAATAGAAAGAGAACTTAATAAAATAATGTCTTATAATTGATAGACCATTTGTGCACTTTACCCTTTATTTTACTTGATGTTGATCGGGTCGAATGTACCATTCTACCTACCAATGAGTGTGTTAGCAAAAGTGGTTGGAATTTAGGAATTTTAGATTGTATGGTCAAGTTCGAATCATACCACCGTCACTCTTAGTGGGCAATCTGTAAATTACTATATAAATTCTAATTGAGTCTTAGGTATACCCTAGTCCTGTATTGGGGAGTCACCCTTGATCTAAACTTTTATATAAAAAAATTGTAGCATTCTACCCTTACATAAATTGTCATTAAATTATGAATTCTATTGGTTCGCCAGTAACTTTGTTTAGTTAAAATCTCTTTCGTTGTTGAATTCGCTTAATTAATGAACAATAAATTAATTAATAAAATATTTAAAATTAGAAAATTTAATTGGATTTTTTATTTGATGAAAGAAATAATATAAAAATAAATATAAAATAAATTCCTTTTTATATAAAATATAATATTTTTATTTTTATTATCTTAATTAATTTACTATTTTTAACTAGTAAAATAAAATAATAAAATAATTTCATTAAATTTTGTCTATAAAGTATTTCAAATAAAATTTAAATAGAAAAGTTAATTTTAGTGATAAAATTTATTTTAATAGAAGTAGTATGACAAGATTTAATATATAGATTTAAAGTATAGTGATTTCAGTGTCATATATTATTGATTTCGATTTTATCAGATGTGTGCTTCGCTCTAGTGACGATGGTTGAATAGTTAAGCTCTCGACATCGTCATCCCTCCTCAAGCCAAATTGTGGAGACTACATTGATCTTCAAGTAACATTGACCCACGGTTTTGAACGGCTTCAAGTGCAATTAAACTCTGCAGAAACTTGAAGTTAGTCCTTGGTCTGAGCGTATACTTCAGCTCTCTCCCATCAGCAAAAATTATCTATGTTATTTGAAATTAACCTTCATTTACGAAACTTCTTTAGATTATATGAAATTGTAATATGATAGCTGACCGACTGATAAAGATGCTCTTGATCATTATTAAGTTTCATTGCTTCACTCTCCATTGCCCAACATTCAATTTTTTTTCAAGAGATACATTATTGATCTCCATATGATAAAAATGATGGCACTTAAATTATTGGCCTCAAACCACCTTCCAATTAGAAAGATTAAACTATATATTTAGTACATAAATTATTAGTTTGGTTCGTTTTAGTATTTAAACTTTCAAATTTTTCAAAACCATACATAACGTTTAGTTTTTATTTCATTTTACTACCGCCATTAAAAACTTAACGTGTTTAGTACCTAAACTATCAGTTTTGACTCGCTTTAGTACCTAAACTTTCAATTTTTCAAAACTTAATATTAAATTTTGAATGGATACTAAAATGAGAAAAATACAGTGAAAGGGTTAATTTAAGTTTTCACTTAATATACTGGCCAAATTCACACACTAACACGTCTATCTTATAGTTTCTAGAAGTAGACATGATCCTTAAATCTTCAAATCAAAGATTAATACATACACCATTTGTCGAAGTCATTCTTCATTTCATTCCATTGAATTTCAGCCCAACAGTAGATTATAATCGGATTAACTTTCTGCATTTTCAAATTCCTACCAAAAAAACAAAACTTCATATAGTTTGCTAAAAAAAAAGAAAATATAAGAACGAATTACATAAAATAAAAAGGGTGCAATACACAAATGATCCCTGACTATAATGTGTTGATTTGTTGGCCTACCAACTATTAAAAGTTACAAAATAATCTCCCAATTATATGGCGTTGTTTTTTTAAGTCACCGACAATTAAAAGTTACAGAATGATCGCTTGACTAGTCATATGTTTCATACTCCTCCTTTTCCGTTAAAAGATTGGTTGTCGTTTAAGCTGAATGTTAACTTGTTGAATTGGATGTGAAAAAATTTGATCATAGAACCGTTTGAGCTATATTTTGTGGATCGAATCCCTATTTACATTATATCGTCAAGTCAGTGCTTGAAAGTAACAATGTGCCAATAAACATCATTAAAATTGATTTTATCATATCATAGTCAGCAAGTTAACATCCAACTCGGATAAATGTTAATTTTTTAACGGAAAATGATGAGTTTGGAACATATAAAATGTCGAGTGATCGTTTTATAACTTTTAATAGTCAAAGAACTTAACAAAACAATGCCCTTTAGCTGAGAGATCATTTTATAACTTTTAACAATCAGACGACTCAATAAAATAATGTCTTATAGTTTGAGAGACCATTTGTGTACTTTTATTATGTTTTTAAAAGTTATGTCGGTACCGTATAGTTTGACGAAGAATTACATGAGTTTACCAAATAATATCAAAATCAAAGATTTTATGTAAAAAAATAATTTTATTTTATTTTCATAAAGATTACAATATAAAACATAGCAACACTCAAGAGACCCTTTCATTTTGTATAAAACAGAGCCAAATCATAGATATACATATATTGGTTATTTTGACACGTACGCATAAAGATTAATAAATAAAAACAGTTATTAAATATATCAAGTTCAAGGATTTTATGTAAAACAATATTTTTATTTTATTTTTCATGAAGATTACAGTTTACGATATAAAACATAGCAGCACTCAGGAGACTCTTCCATTTCGTATAAAACAGAGTCAAATCATAGATCGACTCTTTTGATATGTACGCATAGATTTATCGTCTACAAGTTGACCGTCATTCCGTATCCCAAAGCAGCATAATGATACAAATCACGATTCCCTTGCACCAATTCCGGAGCATTAAGTCTGGCAGTCTCCAGTGCGTTCACACATTTCTCAACTTCGGGGCTAATAAGGGCGACATCATAATTTGCACTCATTGGATCATCACGTAGTTCTGGACCTACAATTTCGAACTCGTCCACACAATACCTATAAACCTCGGTGCAAATTTGGAGAGCCGTAAGGGCTGCCAGTGTAGTTGACTTCTTCTTCAATTCTTCGACGACGGTGAGTGTATTCTGAGCTACCTTCGCCCCTTGCTTCATCGAGACTTCCACGAGTTGGTTAATGTTATTGGCCTTTGAAGCTTGGGGAGAAAGAGTTTTCAAGCACCCTTCAGTGTCTTTGATGGTGTTCTCTCCGCATACTTTAGTGATGAGTTGTTGATCGGCAGATACCATATGCAGAGAAAAGAAATTGAGGGATACGAACAATACTATGAAAACATGAATGAAATGAGTCTGAGATGCCATATTTTATTTTATTTATTTTGAAAGGGTTATTGTTATAATAGATGTTAGATTGAGTTTTTGGGATGAATACACCGATAAATTTATAAAAGAGTTGAGTCTGACATAACAAACAACAACCACCCATTTTCTCTTCTATTTTAGGGATTAATGACTAAAAATTAAGATAATATGTTGAATAAAACGTTTCTCACGTCATTTTTCCGGAGATAAAATTTGACTATTTATCATCATTTTACTAATATTATTATTTTTATTTTTTAAAATAGTAAACTATAATGTGATTCAATTATGAAAAATTATAAACTAGTCACTAACATTTTCAAATTTGTTTTTTTGTCACCCTTCATTGAATGATTAATAAGCTTGTTAGGAATTTAAAAGTGAAAAGCTAAACAAAGTGAGATCAACATAAAATAAGACACGTACAATAGATGAGACTTAACGTGGCATGACCTTATCTACCTCCACAAATAAAAATAAAAATAATCCATTATGAACGTAGAGACTACGAAAAAAACA